GCAGGGTGGGGGCTAGGGATAAAACGTGTAAGGCGTTTGGGCGGGAGGCGGGGAGTTGCAGGTGCCTATACCTAACTTAGGAGGCGCCGAAGCAGGTCCGCGGGAGCTCCGCGGAAGCTTCTTGCTTTGGTCTTCAAGATTCTGCTCGAAGCCTCGATCTTCGGGTCAGACGGGCTCCCGGCTCACTCCCTTTCTCCATAGTTCCCCATAGTTCGAAGGCATAGCACGAACATGCACGACACGACACTAGACGGAGCCTCCAAGGCAACGGATCGGCATCGTCATGGACTTAGACAGTCCCACTCCAAACGGCCTTGCTTTTCGCGCTCGCAGGACTCGACTCGTCCGTCGGTTCTTGAAACAGACTGGGAGATACTGGAAGCATGTTTGTAAAGCTGTTCTTGGAAGTGAGCCCGACTGTGGAGTGGAAAAAAAAATCTCACAGGTGGTTTTGCAGGGTGCTGCCGCTGCCGAGCTGCGAACCCGTGAGGAAGCGCTGCTACAGGCAGTGATTTTTCGCGTTCGAGCTTATCGACGTTGAGGAGATGACTGCCGTCACGTCCCTCTTGGATTAATCCGTAGCTGCTACTTGACACGGCCCCGGATTCAGATGGCCAACCCCACATCCGAGCCTCATTTCGTGGCTCATTTGAGCTTTTTGCAGGTCCAGGGCATGCATTGCTGTGAGATGCTCCACCTACCTCTTGAAGCAGCAGTGTCAGAGAGGCCTTGGGCCGCGAGCTTTGGCCAAGTCTTGCAGATCCGTGTCCTGGTGGCATACTTTGGGCTGGTGAGCGGGTGCTATTCCCGCTGCTACCACTTTTGTCGTGCTTGGCTATGGTTTCGGAAGGGGGCTCCAACGAAGATTCGCATGTTGGCAGTTTTCAGGTCGTAGACACCTGAGAAGAGCGATGAGTTTCCGACCCCCTGCGCCCGTCATTTGGGTGCAGGGAGTTCTCATCAAATTTACCATCCATCTGTGCCATATTGATCTTTTAAAGATGTTACAGGCCGACACTTCCCATTGCGCCACAGGTATTTTGACATGGATCAGCAGATGGAGCCGCTTCACTGACTATCGTTGTTGTGGTTGCTAGTCTAGCCGTTTGAGGCTGTTGCTGCGGCTACTGCTGCTCATGCGGTGTTGCCGTTGTTTGTTGTTAGAGCTGCCAGCGCGGGTGTGGCTGCTGCTGTCGCGATGGTCACTGTCGCTGTCGCTGGTGCCACTGTTTCTCTTACTCTGTCCGTCTTCGTCGACGCTTGCTCTCCTCGTAGTCGTGGCGGTGGCGGGGATGCTGGTGTTGGAGGAGCAGGAGGAGGAGTAGGAGGAGTGATAGTGGTGGTTGGCGTTGTCCTCGTCCTCGCGGTTGTTCGTGCCCGTTGCACATGACGGGATGCAGGCAGGTCTTCAAACGTTAGAGTCGTCGCAGGGAGGCTGTAAATCTCCCGCGGATATCGGGAATCTCTACACACTTTTGCGAGTAAAGGGACGACACAACTTCCAGTGATACAGATAAGGCGTCTTTTTAAGTCTTTTTGAGTTGTTTGATGTCTGACTGTGTTGTGATGAAGCTGTGCATGGATGACTTATTGGTAGAATGGCCTTCCGCTCGCAGTTCAACTGCCAACAAACTTGAGAGATCTGACGTCGACACCGTCTTATCGGTGACGGATGAATGAATCTATCTCTTGGATCCCAGTTCAACGCACTTGTGATTGAGCTGTCTTTAGTGGCACTGATGCATCCTGCCATGTATCAAGCCTGTCTTGTTCCTGTTGCGATGCATCCTGGCATGTATCACGGCGTGTGTGTAGTTTTGCTGAGAACAGCGACATTGAACAGCAAGTGAGCCGACTAGTGATCCAAGTGTTGGATTGAAGACTTGGTGCATCTGTTCAGGATTGTTCCGCAATCATTTGCACTTGCGAATTGATGCTGAATACAACTGGTGTCCACCAGCATTTGTGTGGTCTCCGTCCATCCTGCTGTCGGTAGTTCGTGGTTTACGGTCATGGATGACGATGGCAAGATGCTGTTTGGATGCTTGATTTAATCCGAACACCATCAGAGACTGGGCAGCCAAGTAGAGTTTTCTTGGAGTCGGTCGCTTCTGCCTAGGTACGATGTTAAGGAGCAGTCCTTTTCCATGTCTGAGTGGTGTAGAGTTTACACACCTGTAGAGCCGAGGCAGCCGACGATTCATTCCAGCCCAAGCTGGCGGCTGATCTTGTGGCGCTCTAGTGAGGCTGGAAAGCCTATCGCCCCCATCCTGTCTTCCTGTTTACTCACCCTGTATACGTTGCTTTCGGAATTTGTGAGTGATTCTGTCGTGACTTTTCGGCGTTCTCTTCGCAGGAGTCCTCGGGACTTAGTGACTCCTTCAAGAGTGAGGGCGTTGGGAGTGGAGCGTAAAACCCTCAGTGAAGGAGTCAAGGCCGCAGCTTCGGTGCAGAGTTCTTCAGGTACGAAGAAGCATCTGAACAAACGGCTCAGCCTGAAGTGCACAGAGCCGAAGACATACAGCGAAGCCCTTGGTGTCGCAAACCCGCTCCTCGTTATCGGAATTCTTGTTCTTGTCCATGCAGCCTTGAATTGAAATCGCTTGTGCCGGACGTAATTTCATCTCGACTCTGGTACTACCTGTTTCTTGTCATTGTTCCATTGTTCTGCTCTTCCAGTCGTGGTCCGCGGTTCCGTGGCAAATCTGAAAGATGAAAGGCACTTTCGATGCCTCGTGCTGCGTTTATCGCTAGCTGTGCACGTAGTGGGCTCGTTATGACCGAGGGGGTGTTGGCCCTTTCTGCAGCTTTAATAGCTTTGAGAGCCTGCACGAGGCTCCGAAGCTTTAGACTGCTTCTCTCGCTCGAAGTCTCCTGCGCGGTCGCAACGGGGACATGGAGATATGGACAGAGTAGGACTCCGTGGGACTCCGTGACAGCAGGTTAGCACAGTTTCCGCTCGAGGGTGAAGTGCCTTGGCATGCAGGGTGAGGCAGCCGATTCCAGACGTTGCTCGAGCTTTGCAAGGCCAGGCCATCGTGCAGCTACCGTTGCCGGGGCTTCAATTCTCTTGTACGGAGTTGGTTTCAGAGGTGCTTTTAGCTGTTGCGCCCCCGACCGAGATTTGCTCCGAACTGAACGTGCCCAGACTGAACGTGCCCTTGGACTGGCCAGGCACGGCACCTGCCCGCGCGGAAAGGCACTGGGCTCGGTACTCACGGACGGGCAACCGAGTTGGCCTTCCCAGCCAGGATGGTCAGAACAGGGAGGAAGTTATAGGCCATAGGCGTGCATGTCTGCTCAAGGTAGCCGACAACTAAACTGCGGAATATGAAATGCAGCCTCGATTCCGGTTCACCAATGTTGGGAGGGCCTGCCTGAAAAGGGGCTTTGATCCAAGAGCTCTTCCCATTCTCTGAGAGCGGACAGAACGGAGCAGAGTTGCTTCCGAGATGAAAGCCTCAGGCATGTCGCTGGGATCACGAGATTCCGCAGCAGACCATTGGCATCGTCATCAAGGCGCCGATCGGCAGCTCCAGGTCGCTGCATGCCGCTGAGCTGTGCTTGGGTGTTTGCCAGGTGACCGCTGCACGATACACCAAGTGAGAGAGGCTTCATGAAGGGCACATTTTCGGTGCCCAGGCACATGGCACGCGGCTCCGTTGTGTTGAAGACACCTGCATATACAGGTAAGCTGCTTACAACTCCTTTGAGTATGCATTACTTAAATCACCAGACGAACTTGAGTCGAGTGTGGAGACTGGAATTGATTCCTTGCAACTGCAGCGTCAGGAACGGAGGAAACTCTAATGCTCCGTTCCGGCAGTTTCGCGTCTACTCGTTCAGGCATCAGCAGGCATGCTCCATGGAAGTCCAGTTTCAAGCTATTTGCGTTGGACTTTGCATCTTTCCAGTCCTGGTCCGCCTGCGGTGCCTGACCTTGTACACTTGAGACTGCAGAGGGGTCCGATCAAGCCCTGAAAAAATCCTTTACGGTTTGCACCCTTCAATTAAAACTTCAGACAGCGCCTCGATGGACCCTGACGCTAGGTGACAGTGCAGTTGCCCTGTAGATATCCTGGCGTGCTGCAAACGCTCTCTGGTGCTCTTTCGCCCCATTCCGGCAATGCAAGGCATTTGTGCAGCCTCTGCAGTTTGTGGATACTCTGCAAGGGGCTGGTGATGCAACAAGAGCACCAGAGAAGTAGGCCAAGGCGATTGACCGCAAGGAAGCGGTCAGGTAAGGCGCCCCTCGGTACGTCGTGGAGGCAATTTCGAGAGAATCGAGGGGTTTAGAGATTTTGAAAGCAGGATAAACTGCGTCGCTTAGTCGTCCACATGTTCCGCTTTGGTTTCTGAGTCGCTTAGTCGCCCCACCATCGCGAATACCTTCGAGGGACCGCGGCGAGAGGCCTCGCAAATATCATGCAGCGCATGCAAGCTTCAAGGTCTTGGCCTGTGAAGTGGAGATGGGGAGTCACGGAAGGTCGCCAGCAACCACTCCAACACCTACCCGCTGGCGGCCACGAGCCCTAAGAGGCTCCCCAGCTCTTGCTTTGCAGGCTTTGCAGGCCTGTCGACAAGAGGGCGTACACTATACTGGTCGCCCTTCTGAGTCGACGTGTTTTTTGTCTTCAAGAAGGCTCCCGTGCGAACTTTGCCTCCACTGAGCCAACCATAGACTGAGGTGGCAAGGTCCGCACGGGAAGTCTTCCCAAAGCCGCCAGTTGCCACAGCCGAAGCCGAACACTTCCCCGGAGGAAACTACGATTAGTGGGGAGGAATCCACAGGAATCTGCCATGCTTCTTGGAAAAGCACTGCGGAGAGCGACGTCATAGGCCTTTGCTGGATTCCTCATAACTCTACGACAATGCTCTGCGAGTTCTGTCCGACGACGTCAGTTTCACCGCGCGTCCAAAACAGAGCAGATCGGGGGCCGTGCTTGCTGTCTGCATGCAAACTTGGGGATAAAACGTCGCAGTGCCATGCAATGCCGAGGATGCACCAGTGCCTGATGTACAGCGTCCTTACCTCGATGAACTTCTTCAAGTACTACATCCACGGCAAGGCACATAAAGCCTCAAAGGACCCACCTTGCCGGGTCGTGAGGCTCTCTGTGAAAGTCGGGGACGCGTGGAATCGACTTTCGATTTGATGAGCACATTCTCGCAGGCTGTTTTGGATAAGGTGTGGGCTGGCCTTGTTTCGTTTCAACTACCCTGTTTGGCTTAAGCGAACTCTCCTGCCTCACGGGCTGACATCCAATGATTGAGTTTCAGGGCAGCGCTGTGCAGGTCTTTTCACGGTGGCAGCAGCACACGCGGTTCACGCTGTGACCCACGAGAAGGATGTGGGTTGTTGGAGCATCTGTTGCTTCGATACAGATACCGATGTTGATTCCGGTCTTGAGCCCCAAGCCCCCTGGCTCCGAGGTACTGCCATGCCAGGAAGAATTTGGTCAGGCCGAAACGAGAGCTGCAAGTACAGACAGGTTACTCATCAGCAACTGAGCCACCTGACCACAGAGGCTTTCAGCGCACTTCCCCCGCACAGTGATTGACGATGCTGCCTGAAGCGACGTGTTGTCCGTGTTTTAATCGGTTTCTGGCCAGGCGGCTGTTTTTGGCGAAGCCGCTCTTTGTGGGGCCCCTCATCAAGATTTGCGTCCCGGCTGTACATCTTGAGGCTTGAAGGTGGTTTGGCTAAACTGCAAAGTTGTTTGCACCTTCAGGACGAGACTGAGGAGTTTGCTTTGTTGCACATCTTGAGGACTGTTACCGGAACAAAGGACATCTTGTGATTGCAAGCTGCCTAGAATCTGACCTGTACCTGCAACACCCACGGATGTGTCAGAACTGGCATGCTGCGACCGTGATATGAGCAACATATCAATGCTGTTGCTTCACTGTCCCCGCCTCGTCAGCCCAAGGCTCGCTGATGCGCGAGGCCACTCTTGCTTTCCCCTTTCTAGAGAGATTGCCTTGATTGGCCTGTGCTTCGTGTGGCCTGCGAGAAGGTCAGATTCCAAGTGGGAGCCTCTGTTTTTGTTTCATAGGTGGAGTCCGTAAAGGTCGTCAACATAGGCCGGTGACCCAGACGGAAATGGAGACCGTGGGCCGTTGTTCGGCATGGAAGGCAGGAGTAGGGACAGGTCTAGGACGACTGCGACTTGTTTGTGCTCTGTTTTTAGCAGTGTTTCGCATTCTGAACGTCGTCGGTTTCTTTCTTGCGCTCTGCTTGTCAGACGCTCTATCCATGTGCCCTGTCTCTCTCTCGCCCCTCGCCCCCAGAATTGATGGTTGAGTCCCTTTTTTGTTATAGCGCTTATGATTATAATGAATATGTATATGTACAGTGTATGCCTGCCATTCCCAGTGCTGCTGTTGAGCAGAGGCGAAGTCCAAGTGCCTGCACGTATAACCGAAAGAGAGCGTGGTTGTACGTGCACCCTTACATCCGTGCGTTAATGCATGCACACGGTTACATGCACTCGCGCGCACATTCATTTCTGTCAATTGTTGGGCCCTGCGCTTGCTTGGTGGGCTGTGCATGTTGTGCCTTCGGTTTGGGGCCAGCCATGCACGAGTTCGGGCAACGCGGCTCTCTGTTTGTATTTTTCTCACGTGGTTGGTCTGATGAAAGAGTGATGCAGACAGCCCCTTCACCGTGAGGCAGCAATGTGTACAACTTGGCGGATTTCGATCGCGAGCAGGTGCGCGGCGCAAGACCCGTTCGCTCCACATATTTCGCCTCCAAGAAGGAGCCGAGGAGTCGAAAGAAGTTTCCGCCAAAGAAGCGCCTTTTTCTGTGTCTTTGGAGGCGACGGTTCGGTCGGCGAGCTGCGCGCAGAAGGCGCCGGGCCCCGGTTAGGGGTTTCCCGCCTCGCTCCCCTTTTTGAGGAACTCGAGATGCTCCATGATCAGACGGTGGCTGCTATGGACAAGCTGGTGCAGGTTGTAGGTCGGGGCCGCAAAGAAAGAGACTTCGTGCCTGCAGGTGTCCACCGTGCTAGCGACCCCTCGACGATTGGATGCTGCAAGTACCAGAGTGATTCCATGGCTACCATTGAAAAGCCTAAGATGTTGTGATGATTGATGATGGTTGTGATGGCTTGGAGGCCACTGACGATGCAGAGTGCGGGGGTGCAGATTTGTCGGGATGACGTCTACGTCTCTGTTTTGATGGTCCAGGATGCAAGGTGCATCAGAGTCCCTGCATGCTTCCTGACCACGTGCCCCGGGAAGAGAGCGAAGTTGAAGCATGCACCACAAAACGCGTGCAGCACAGCCCCGGCATCGGAGCAAAGTCCCGTAGGAGGTCCAAGGAGATGAGTCCCATCATAAACGTATCCGGAGCCACGCTGAGCTACCAGTGCAGAGCAATGTTTCTCCACATTCCGCCTGGCATCGCAGTACCTGCTCTTCAATGCCTTTCCACCCTTTGGACAACCCAGCCGTTCCGTTTCTGAGCATTGCTGCCAATCATAGATCGCGGTGTATGGGTGGGGACAGGACAAGCCGTGACAAGCCGCTAAACAGATGATTCTTGGTTTGAGTACAGAACCCTCAAAGCAAAAGGAAGAGCGGTATTTGTTGTGGGTTGGCTGGACACTTCGTGCTTGCTGGGCCAAGTGTTCTTTGGCAATGGAGCGCCCCTACTAAAAATGGGCTCCTTCAGCTGTCGCCTAGGGCCTAGTGGGTGGAGTGTGCAGCAGCTTGATTTTGTGCTGCAGGCCATCGCGTTTGCCCTCCAATCCTTCACAACAGATTCCCGGTCGCACGTCGTGTGGAATCGTATCGGCACCCAATCGTATCGGCACCGCCGATGTGCGACGGGATCTCTGAAAGAAAATTGCAAACTCTTAACACTACCAGCCCGCAGCTCCTAAATCAATGCGCCATTTCCAGTACCATCGTATCCAAGTACCCCCTAAGAGCATGAAGGCCAGGAGTTTTCGAGGCCGCATGAGGCCGCTGTTTGCCCATGGACTGCTGCGAGGCCAGGCGACGGAACCGCAGAGCCACGAGCCGCCGCAGGGGACGATGAGGCCGCCGCCAGCGTCTTTGAGGACACATTCAACGGCTCTTAAGGAACCATGGGTTGTATCTTATCGTACAAGATACGGTAGGAGTCAGAGTTCAAGCTTCCTGACTGAGCCTGCGATGTTGGCTCGGCTAAAACACTTTGTTGGTCTGAAATGGTTCCGTCGCGAGAACTACTAAGCTTGCCAGGGGTGCTGAGCTGCACGAGAGCTGCAGCTGCAGAAACCCACAATCTTCTATGGTAGCCAGTTGTTGAGAATCATCCAATTAGTGATGCTCATGAATGAATGAATGCGATTCCCACTGTCCCTACTTGTTACTATCCAGTGGAACCAGAGCCAAAGCGCAGTGGGCAAGAAGACATTGCAACACTAAATTTGGCTCCCTGTTTCTTCGACCCACCGATGTGGACGGGACTTAGGAGCTCCAGGATCAACCTCAATCTTTTCCCGGGGCAGGGATTGGTACACTGGATGAGGACGAAGGTATTGAAGGTCGAACCCTACTATGGGCGCGAAGGATTTGAACTCATGCCTATGTTAGTCTGAGTTCTCCTGCCGCAACCTCTCTCTTCCAAGTTGTGCAGGGCTTGGGAAAGAGCAGGAGTCTTTTGCCTGATCGTTGCTACTCTGTGCCCTGGTGCTGGCGGTATTGTGTTTTCGATTCTTTATGCGATGCCTCTGCCCCATGCTGTGTGGCCTGCTGGCGGTCGTCAAGGTCGCCCACTTCAAATCCAACATGATAGACATGTTGAAAGTCTGCTTTCCTGGTTGTCAGGCCGCGGATGAAGTCCATGGTGCAGGCTCTGGTTTGCTGTGCGCACCATATGGGAGTGCACCGCCACGGCCACGACCCGCCGGCCCTACCCCTGCCGCTACCAATACCACTACTACTTCTACTACTAGTTACTAGTTTTTTTTGATTTTCGCCGGCCTTTTCGAGTGAGGAGAAGAAGGAGGCCTCAGACAGTGCACGGCGGCACCGCCTTGCCGTCCACGCCACGTGCCTGCAGGGAGTACCATGAGCCCCGGCCCGCCCCCCGGGCGTCCCGGCCCGCGGTTCCGGTTTGTGCGGGACTCCTTGGTGGTAGGGCACCGTATACTGACAACAACGTCTGCAGTTCCTGTCGTTCCAACCCAAAGTTTCTGGGGCATGAATGAGCCTGAGTGGAAGAGCTTCACATCTGCATGTACTGGCGATGCAAAGGTCAAGTAAGTGATTTTCGATTCATACTTCTCGGCTTTGTGAATGAAAGGACAACCAGATGCTCGGAGACTGCGTGCGGCTTGTGGACTACATGTTTCAGGCGATGTGTTCATGTGATTTGAACAGCAAAGCGGATCCTTCCCTCGTGAGCAACAAACTTGACGCGGGCTGCATGAAAGCATTCAGCCACAACCACGATCCGGCCTGGCAGCAGTTGCTTTTTCCTCTAGCCCGGGCCTTCAAAGACATCCAAGCATCTTACAGCCGCCCCGCACCGTGAGCGTTCGCAAGACTCGCCTGGAGGCGTGCCTCGTGAAGGTGGTCATCAACGCTCCTTTGCTGCACTGGCGTTGGGTCAGTCAGGCAGAGCGCAGCCAGATCGTGGATGCTGCAAGCTGGGGCTCTTCAACCCGAGGCATCTGTGGAGTTCTTCAACCGGGTGCTCAGCTCAGGATTGTTGTTCCGGAAGACTTGCAGGTTTGCGGAGGCTCCCAACAACCGGCAAAGGGACCATGGCAACGGAAACATACAGGCCGTGAGTAGGGGGCCTCGAGCGCAAGGGCGCCCGAGATGCCAAGATCATACAGCAAATGCCACGGAGAAGTGGTGGCCCTGGTTGCAGCGACTGCTCTGCAGTCTGCCCTTGCGTTGTATGTATGTATGTATGTATGCATGTATGTATGTATGTATGTATGTCTGTATGTATGTATGTATGTATGTATGTATGTATGTATGTAGATACCCTGTGTTTTCAACGAGCGGTCCAGCTCCGTGATGAGGTTGACAGCTCGACGAAGATGTTTTCGATTTCCGTGGCGTATGGCGAGAAGACTATGGCACGTGAGGGTTGCGATATGTTGGCAGCATGGCTTCCTAAGTTTGATAGAAGGGCTCTACTCTTGATGCGCAGCTCACTTATTGCAGCTGGATTTTCTCGCCATCCATGTATTCAAGCTTTGCGTTGCTTGAACTTCATGAGAGTGAGTTCGGATCTCAGCCAACTCATTCACACATGGTTTGGAGGTGTTCGATCCTTCGCTGGACCAGTTCCTTGAGATGCTGACAAAGCTTTGGCGTTCCTCGGTTCAGGCGACGACTGGAGTGACCAGCTTTTGTCCCTGAAGGATATCGCGTGTACAAGAAGTTGCATTTCCGTTTGCAGTCGCTGCATGGTCTTCGACCCTGGATGCTCGGCTGTATCAGGTGGTGAATGGCATCCTCTCGCTGCTGAGCTCGCCGCACTATGCAGCTTCGTCCAACAAATTGGGCTTCGAGATCTCTGGCGAGGTTGCTGTTATAGGGCTCGAAGTTCACGATACAAGCATTCCAGGTGAAGCACCTTTCTTCCTCCACTGGCAGCACACAGACGGCAAAGGGCCTTGGAGTTTTCGATCATACCGGGGTCTAACAGCTCAACGTGGGATGAGGGACGCAAAGATTGTCATCAGCCCTTTGACAGCCGTTCTACTGCCAAGAGGTGGAAAGCATCCTACACCACAACCGGCAGTTCAACCACTACACGGCTGCTGTGCGCGAGAAGACCGGATTGGTTTGTGGTGTTTCAAGCATGTTTGGTATCCAAGTTGTTTGCAGCAGGTTCCGTATAATTGCAATTGCAACTGCCACAAGGGATGGGTCTCCTTCCGACGTTCTGACGCAGCACATTGGACGCTGCTTGCGTAGGAAGGCACCTCCTAGGTCCTACTTCTATGCTGTGTCGTGAGTTGCAACGGCCAGTGAAGCTTCACGCGATGAGAGAGCCGGTTGTCGACTGGCATCTGAAGTGCAGGTTTTCAGTGTGTTGGGCTGCAGGAATGCCATTCCCATCGCTACTGCCCTGCCTTCCACCACACAGTTTCATCAGCTTGGTACCTTTGCTGGCTGCGAGTCTGGGAGGATCTTTACAGACATCACCAATGCGCAGGCTCTTGACCCGGTCAGTCCGATTTTTGCGGTCACCAATCACCATACCTGACTCAGAAATTCTCGGACAAGCATTTCGAGCTGTTCCGGCGCATCCATGACTATGGAAACAGCCGGGGGGCCCAGAAGGTCTAAGCAACCATGCCACGTGCTTCTTGCTCACATCCCTCAAGCCCTCCCTTGGCAATCAGACTGGGACGAAGAAGCCTACCTGTCTTCCACGACTTCTCACGAGGCCCGCACTTTCGAACGCCGGTTTCGGGAATATGGATTGCCTTTCATTACAAAGCCTCAAATGTGGTGGAGTTTTCCGGAGGGACAGGTTGGAAGGGCCGATCGCATCCCTTGGGAAGCGTTTCTGCTGACGGGCCCGCAACCGGTGCGCAGGAGCTTGCCTCCGACATGGGCCGCATGCGCGAGTTCCAGGCGCGCGCCGAGGGAGGGCAGAGCGCCTTGAGAGGATGATGTCTTAGCCGAGACTTCTCAGGGTGTAAGTGCAGTTCTGTCAAGTCCATCGCCGCTCTGAATCTGCGCGTGTAGCACCCAAAGAAGTTCCCGGCTTCGATCGTGCAGGCGGATCTGGACAAGTACAAGCCTCACCACAATGCCCAAGCCTCGGGAGTTCGCCGTGCTCTACCAGGGCCGAGCGAGGCCCGAAGTCCTCCGCGTGCTTTTTCCGGTGCAGGTTGGCATCATCGTCGTCGACGGGCGAACTCTGCGGGCGAGTGCGCTCCCCGAAGACGAGACGAGAGACTGCCCCTCTTCGAGCTCCGCGGAGCCGCGAGCCGAGGCCTGCAGCCCGTGCCAGAGCGGGGCCTGGCGGCGATGAAGAAGTCCGGGGCCCCGGGGGCCCCGGCACCGGGGGCGGGGTCGGGGAAAAAACTTGGGGAGAGACCGTTCGTTTCCGCCTTTTCCTGAGCGCGGCGGACGCTCCACGGCTCACGGCTCGCTCGACTCCTCTCGGCGGCAGCAGCAAAGGGGCCACAGCACGAAGTGCAGAGGAGCGTCTCCTTCGCGAGACTGCTATAACTAACGCCCGGAGAACACGTAGCCCGGTTTTCTGGCGCTCTGCGTGTGCCGCGGGAGGCCCTTCAAAGACTTCAAGCCGAGCACTGATACATACCTCTTACCAGTCGTAGCACACCCGAAACCGTCTGTTGCGTCATGCCAAGTCGTAGTGCCATGCACAAGCCAGGGCAAAGCTTGTTAACATTCAGCGGGACCGCCAAGTTCCAGCCTGAAGCCACAAGGGCGCTCACGGACATCGCCCGGCGCAAGTGCCAGGGTGTTTTGCAGCGCTTCGACCATGCCAACAAGGTCCGCTGAGGGTGAATGGACTTCAATCGTCTTCTGCGTGTTAAATGTGTTCACATGTTTGTAATAATGCAAAGATGTTGTTTGCAAGCCAGATTTTCAGTGGATCTGACTGTCGAGACTCTGTCGTCCTAGGATCGGTGCTTCTCCAGGATCGTGTCTTTTGTAGTGGTTTCGGAAAGACCTTACGGGTTTGCAGTTCAGGCCGTACTTCTCAGATCCAATCATGTGCGTGCATTTCTCGGAGGCATCAGCAAAGAAGCCGTTTTTGCAGTTGGTGGCACCTTTGGAACTTTCTGGGCTGTGTAAACTCAGTTGAGCGCAAACACGCCACCACCCGAACATGTCAGACACGGTTTACCCACAACTCTCGTGCACTTCGTGCTTTTGCTTCCTTCCTGCCCGGCAGATTCTGGACGAGCGGCCGAAGAGTTTGACGGCCTATGCAGACTACGTCAAGGCACCGCTCAAGCCGTGGAGGGAACACACTGGAAAAAGAGAGCAGCGAGAGGCAGCGAGAGTTTCTCTGTTACTCAGAGCCATGAAGACCAACCCGGCATTCTGACTTAGCACCAGAGCAAAGTCATCTTGCAAAGCACGAGTGACCTTTCACCCCGAGGATCGCAGCGGTTCAAAAGCACGCGGAATTCGACCTGCAGGATCCCAGCGACACTGACTAGCCTTGAACGGCTTAATGAAACATCTTTTTTTATGTTTGGCCTCTGCCGCGCGCGGCGCTTCTGTTGTCTCCTCGCTGCCGTGGGCCGGCAGCGAGTCGCCGCCCTGGTGCTGCTGTCTCTGGGAGGCCGCTGGATCTTGGCAGTGCGTGTGCGAGGGGTCCCTCCCTCTTGGGGGCGATGAGTTGTTGATGGACGTCTCTAGATTCTTAACGATATTCGATGCGAGAGATCGTCGAGACTTCGACGACTGCCTGGCACTACCTTCCGGGCTGCCATCAGGGGAGTTTTGGTTGACAGACTCTGTTAATCATCTGGTATCTCATGCTTAAGGGAGACCACATGCAGTACATGTGCCAGTTTCGACAAATCTAATGTCGGGCCTTTCCGTGGGGGTTCCGGAGCATCTCCGGCAGATCCCATCTGAAGCTCGGCGGCCTCACGGAACATCGGCTCACAATAGCCCCAAAGCTGATTTGCCCAGTCTGCTCCCGCCCCCGAGGCTTCGCCGTGAAAGGTTGGATGGAGCCTTCAGAAGCAAGGAGCAAAGAGCGCCGAGCCGGAGAGTGGCCTTCGGAGAGGCGGAGTCCCAGCGCTCAGGAGGGCTGCGCAGGCGCTGCTGGCTGGCAAAGTCCGCGGCGTCAGGCGGAAGTGGGAGCTGCTCGGCAGCTGCTCGTCCTTGGATTCCCATTCAACAGGGAATGTCCTGGCCGTTACAGCAGAAGCGAGGCTACTCTGCGGAGAGAACGGAGGAGATCCTTGCAGCTCAGCTGTCAGAGCAGAGGAAAAAAAGTTTTCTCCTTTGGCCGGGGTCTCTGGAGGCCAGCTTCCGGCTGGGCGCGTCTCTGGCGGAGCGCTGCGGCCTTGAGAAAGCGGAAGGCGGGCACCGTGCGAGTTTTTTTGGCAGCAGCTTGTAGCGAAACCGCGTGTCACAGGACAAAGCTGGCTGGACGCCGTCCGCTTGCTGCGCAGGCGGTCGGAGGAGCCGCTCCCAGCGACCAAAGCGACGGAGAGAAAGGGTCCCAGGTCCCAGGTCCCGGGCTGGTTGTTTCGTTGTTACTGTTCTCACAGTATGTCACAGCTGGGTGCCAGAAGATCCTGCCAGAGGCTGCACCTACTCTCCGTGTAGCATCGTGCCACCCAAATCCCAGGGCTTCAAACGAGTGCAGGAATTGGACGAAAGCCCGGCAGCGCTTTGGCAACGTGCTTCTGGGACAAACTTTGACGTCTTGTGTCTTGAGTAGATTTGACCTTCTGCCTGGCCGAATATGTTGCACTGCTTCGCATCCGTCCGGTGACTTTGTGCAACGGTGCTATGTAGCACCACTACCATGGAGGCATGAGAGTCCTGCAAAGTGATCCGACCGATGCATCCGCTGAAACCCTCGAGAACCCACAAGTGCACCTGGAGAAATGTGAGGTCGAGCGGCATCCGATTGCCGAGTATGTCCATGTTCAGTGCCAGAGTCACCTTGGCTTTGGTTTTCATTCTGCGCCAGTTTCTACTTGCTGGGAAAGCAGAAGCAACTTGACCGTAGATCCCAGTGATTTGCTGACCTGTTGTGCGAAGCTGTGCCTCACATCTCTCATCGTGCACGGCTCCTGGAACCAGTCCAGGCTGTGGGCACCTCATTCCGGACAGCTTTCCTGCCGAGGAGGACAGCAGCTCTTCGTTCCAGGACATACTGCACGAGCAAGGTAGGCCGGCCAGCACAGGATCCCAACTTATCCGAGGATGAGCCCCAGCCAGAAGAGAGGTGCGGTGCTACCGTCGGGAATGTCCCCAATACTTTGTTTTTGAGATGCAGCTATTGGTTTCGATTTTAAAGCAGGCGGAGCTCGATGTTGGACAGCTGGCCTTAGCTTGGTGGGTGCCACTCTAAATTTCTGGATGCCCTGGGAGAAGCCTTGGAGTTGCGCCCGATATTCTACCAACTTATCAAGACTGCGCATGAAGAAGATTCCATCCACGACCGGAAGAGTTCGTGGGGACCGTTGTGCTGGAACAAGAATTGTCATTGGTCATGAACAGGAATCTCAGTGTATCCCACCGTCACTGCCTCGCAGTCTCCACTCGCCTTGGCATGAAGCATCATGGGGCTGTGCCACACAAAAGACCTTGACATTACTATGCCGCTAAGCGCTTCGGGCAGACCATGCTCGTGGTGATCAATTCCTCCCCTCGCGCAGAACTAAACTCACGACAGACCAGAGAGAGAGGGGCTCGGATTCTCGAAACAAGACAAAGACCCACATTTCAGAAACACTCTTTTGGCAAATGCTATTTTCAAGGGATGTCGTGCAGGAACATGAACCCTTGGCACGCGATACAGTGATCTACTAGTAGATGTTTTGGTTGCTTTCATCCCTAGTGCAGTGGTTGCATTTATGCCTATAGTACATGGCCAAGATAGGGCCAGTTGGCAATGCTGTTCAACTGGCAGCCAACAATGGCTGCAACTAAACAGAGTGAATGCTGCATCAAAGCACAACGTGCAGTGTCGTTGTCCATGTTGCACATGCACCTACGATTGCGCCCCTGTCATGTCGTCGCAAGGCCTTTCGTGCGGGCCGGATGGTTTCGTGGGCCGCGAGGGGCCGTGGTGTTCGTTTTCCGCTCCTTGGGTCTTCAACGTTGAGGCAGCTTTTGGTGTGGCACAGGCTTACGATTCGATCCGGTTCCCAATTCCGCAATTGATAAGTCAAAAAGCGAAATCTGCTGGATCCGCCAGTTCGTGTTGTAGCACTTCCAGTGTCATCCGCGAGTAGTGTCAATCGCCCCGAGCCCAGGTGTACCCCTACGCCTACCTGCCAGGAATTGTCCCCACCCCGCACACCTGCCGCAGGGCCCTCTCAGTGCCAATCCCGAACCATAGGCCCTAGACGGCGAGCTTCTGCTCTGTTTCAACCCAGAGCTGAAGGCTGCCCGGATTGCGGGGCTGTCTCGCGCTGGTTTCGTGCAACGCACCCGGAGGCCTGCGAGTGTGAAAGGTCATGCAAGTGGTGACAGCTGGCTCGAGGAACTAGACCAAAGCCGCCCTTGGACACGTCAACGCTTCGGTCCAGGTGACGTTGAACCCAAATCGATGGGGCCGCCTCTGCGGCGAGCAGGAGGAGCTTCGCTTCCGGGCCCCTGCAGAATCTTCTGCTAGTACGATTTTTGTCTCGCCTGGTCTGGTTTCATTGCAGTCGTCTTTTGGCCAGGACTTGAAGGCCTGGCTGGCGCAGTACTTGGGCGTCCGACTGCGAAGCTTTGCGAGAACTAGAAGGGCCCTTTCGCCGGCCCCACCCCAAACTTCAAGTGCCATTTGCGAGTACGAGCGTGCACTTCGGTTCGGCTTCGCCTCTCAGCGAACTTTCTTCGTGTCGAGGTGCGAGCACGTTAGCCTACTAAACCCCGCTCAACTCCAAACAAGGTGTTTGCCTTCCACTGGACTGGGATGCCCGGCACGCAACCTCCCGCGGAGGGTTGAGCAAAGTTCGGAACTGACCGGAAATTGTCCCGTGCTTACTCTTCTGAGGATCACGTGTGGACCGAAGTCTTCGATGGGGACTCCTGGCGACCATTGGCATCTTGGCCGGAAGACACCGACATGATAACGAGAAAGTGCTTTCCGCTTTCGGACTCCGGCTGAACAACAACCAGAGCCAAGGATCCGAACTGCTGCTCGACGGCACCTGTGGGGTTGCTCGATGTAGCGATGTCGCCATCGTGTCAGAAATTAACGGACGGGGCGCAAAGTGAACTCTTCATTTGGCACATCCAAGTCCCGTGTTGATGCGAAGCGCATCGGCCAAGCTCAGACTCAGACCTTGTAGTGCACACCAGCAAGTAGGCGACGTTATCGCTGTCGCTCAACAGACTGATGACACCGTTCAGGTGTGATGTTTTGCCAGAGTGCCATTTTTCATGTCATAATGCTATGACCGGCCGGCTGCTTCTCGCTGCGCGGAATGTCGAAGCTGGATCGAAACAACTACCTGCTCCATTCAGTGGTGAAGCAGGTTCCTGAAGCTTCCTGCCTTCATGCGAAATGCTCGGCTTTGTACAGAGCCCGTGCAAGTCCAGTTCTGCAGCGCACATCTCGGAGCGCACATTCTATGGATGCTGAAGTAACTGAAGTAGGTCTTCAGCCCGCAAGCCCCAGTCAAGGAGTGATCCGAGAGAAAACGGGTGCGACACACAGGCAACTACCTTTTTGAGCATCAGGTGCTGAAGTTCGTCGTGCGTCACGGGTTGATGACCAAATAGCAGGTGGATGGCGGAAGCCCAGAATTCGGATTGTAGTGTAAGTTCCTGTGTGTTTTTGTAAGTTTTACTCGAGACTTCTCACCATGCCGGCATGGCTGCATAGCAAAGTGGCTGTGGCGACAATGCAGATCCTGTACCTTCACCGTCGCAGACCTTTGAGCCAGTGATTGAGGTGTCGACTTTGCCAGACGCCTCAACGAGGGCATTGGTTCCTGGCTACTCCACTGAAGTCGTAATCGGGGCTTGCCGTGCTCTTAGACGATGTGGAAGTTTTGGCCAAGGACGCACGTCCTGGCCATCGGCACCCCAGGCAGGAACAAATCCGGCAGGTGTCGGGGAGAGTTTCGGGTTGCAAATACTTTCGGAGAGCGGTGCATGCCGCTTTGCGGGCTTTGCGGGCTTTGGCGATGGTGCCGAGGCAGTGGGGACATGGTGGCAGCCACGGAAGAGGCGGTCTCTGACGCAGCAGGCGTAGCACCTGATGCAGAGTGTAGCGCAGCCTGGCGGTAGGTCACGGAGAAGTACCTGCGCATGGCGAAAGCCAGCGAGGACGAGGCGGAAGGGAGACAACCGTCGATGCCGGTCCAAAGACAGAGGCTCTGCTCTTCCCCGTGCATCGAAAGTCCACGTTTCTTGGGCTTCAAGCAGCGAAAGGCAGCGAAGCTTCAGACCAAGCCTTGCTTGTGCAGGTCACAGCCTGGCGCCGGCAAATCCACAGCGCCAGGGAAGACCCCACAGGGCAGGCAGCTTTCGAGCTTTTTGTCAGGGACCGCTCAGACTTTCTGCGGGGGATGCTGAGGAGCTGCTTGCACTCAAAAACCTGCCAACCCCGTGAAAGCGTGAGTGGATGAGTGGAGGACGTGAGGTCTCACATCTTTGGGCTTGTCGAGGATACGCAGAGCCGGACAAGTCACGGGCACACGCTGCTCTGCGCCGGCCTCGAGGAGAGGAGAAACCGCGCGTGGGGCGACTCTAGGCCCTCTAGGCAGCTTCGCAGAGTCGCAGAGTCGCCCGGGTGAGCTGGGCCGGCTTTCGGTGATCTGGGATAATCTGGGATATCTGCTTTCTCTCCAGCCCTTTCAGCCATGGCGGAGGACCACGAGATCACCGCCGAGCTACGGGCTGCGCAGCGCGCGTTCGATGCAGAAAAAAGACAAGCTACCTTTTTCTTGTCGGGCTTTCGATGGCCTCAGCGGTCAAAGGGCACTCCAGGCCCATTACTAGGAAAAGGGTCCTCGATAAGGGCAGATAGTTTTTTTTGGGGGATTTGAGCATAATTACAAGGCTTCTTCCTCCATAACGTGCATTTTGGCAGAGGCCTTCAACGACATCAAGAACCAGGAAGCTCAGATGGAGGAAATGAGGGAGGAGGCAATTCTGCGCGCATTTTATGCTCGGATGATGACTGGGTGCTTCATGTTACACTTCATTTTTGTTTCGGTGGCTTGCTTGTCCGTTCGGACTTCCCATCTAGGCAATCTTCGGCACATGGCTTGCTCAAGCTTGGCCTCCAAAGTCAGCATGAAGCATGGGAGAATATGTGCTGCGAGTGCTCTCCAGCTGTGTTGCAATTGCACGAGCATTTCTCGAACCAGCATAGCCAGAGTCCATACGGGATTCACCTTGACAGCTCGCGTCTCGAAGCTCTCGCCGCACGTCTCCCACTGCACCCCAAAGAAGAGGTTCTGTCCACTTGCAGGTTGAGTCCATGTACCAGCTGCTCCGGCAGTACAACGTGCGCGTCAGCGGAGACGCTCCAAGCCCAGGGGCGGTCTTCTTTTGGGGCCGACGCGTCGGGGGGAAGAGTCTCTGCTTCGCTGAGGACACGGTGCAGATGGAGTTCCTGCAGACCAAGGGCTCGGACTTTGCTGATCGCAAGCTCATCGAGGTTTCCCTGAGTTGCCGGGCATTGCCGGGCCGTGCCGACGAGAGAAATCTGCTGAGAGGGCAACGCGTACATCCGGGAGAAGGCCGACGAGATGGTTGAGAGCTTGAGCGGCGTTGGAGCCCCAGGCTTGCATAAAGCCTTAAAGCAGAAGCCGGTGACCTTCCCCAGGTCTCGCAGCTCGCGGAGGAGGAGGCGAAGAAGCTCACGGAGCAGTTCCCGGCTGCATAAAGCTTGTGCATTTGTTGGGAACGTGTGACCAGAGAGGCGATGGAGAACTTGAGATGACAGCTTTGTTGTGCTTTCGCGACCGGTCCGCGAAACCCGAGGTTGCGGTCCGGCAGCTTCGTCTCGCAGGAGCAGAGCGTTCTCGCAGCCTTTCTCTCTACAAAAAGCGCAGAGAGGTGTCCTGTCCGTTTTGTTGGGCTGTCGGCACCAGAGCAACTTCTCTCAGAGTCTCTGCCGTCTGCGGCAGCTATCGCATGGAAACCAAGTTTGAGCAGAGCAGCCCACTCTTCCCTCCCTTCCGCCATGATGCAGGACAACATCCATAGCCCCGAAGTCGTCTTGGAGGAGCTGACCACAATCCAGGAGGGGCCAGCAGCGTATCCTTCATGCAAGTGGGCTTGCTGCTGCCGTCCGATACAGCCTCGATGTCTTTGGAGGTCGCCGTCACCAAGCTTGAGGAAAAGGCTGCAAACTACAACGAATATCAGGTGGGTGAGCCGTGTGAGAGCAGAGCGGCTTGCAAAGACCGCAGCCTGCTGCGGCGATGTTAGCGGAAAAGTCGCAGCAGGGCGGTGCAGCCCCTAGCCAGGCTCTGTTCTACGTGCCGGTGCAGTTTGAGTTCCAGGACGTCGAGAAGGCTTGGCTGGGTTCGCTCGCACGGGTTCTGACGAGGCATGGTGCTCGAAGGCGAAGCAGCTCTTCACCGAGAAGTCTCGGTTGTGGAACCTCATCAGTGACTGGAAGGCTGTGACACTCAGCGTTGAAACTTCGGAAGGACTGTGAGGTTCGGCTTCTTTTGAGGAAATGTGTATGTCGGACAGGCGCAGCTGGATGTCTGGAAGAAGACCGACATTACCCAGCTGAATGTGGAGGAGATGAACAAAAAGGCGAGCCCGTTTTCTCGGCTCAAAGCCCGTTCCAAGAGTGCAGCCCCGGACCCCAATCCTCGCTACGCGACCGAAAACATGACACCCTGCATCGCAGCTCTGGGAGCACAGGTCCTGGAGTATTCGAAGACTGCGTATCAGCTGACGCTCGGGGGCTCAGACTCGAAGAGGATTCCCGGTAGCATCTGCTGGGATCTCATCACTCAAGTCCGTTTTGCCTCTCAGGCGGAGCCTGGAAGGTGACAAGGTGGCCCAGGAAATCCGGCCGGCGCCTCGAAGCCGCCGGGACAGCGGTCTGCGAGCGAAGTGCTCCGCTCAGGTCCGAGGTCGACGAGTGGAAGGGCAACATGCCCTGCATCCTGGACCTCGGGAACCCGGCCTTGAGGCACTCTCAGCCGCTTCTCACGTCTGCTAAATCTAGCTGAGTCATGTCATACGCAGGGACATGGACAGCTCTTGAAGCGCGTGCTGCAAAGTGCTCGCATGTCGAACGCTCAAAGCTCCCCGTCAGACATGTCTGCTCGGCCAGGGATCGCCACAGATTGCGAATCCGTCAGGACCGCTGCTGGTATTCTTTCTTTCTCTTTCACTCTCTCTCTCCGTCTCCGTCCCTGTCTCGCGGTGTTTGTCCTCATGTGTGCACATGGCAACGCGCAATCACGAAGTATCGAGGCCTAAGCAGAGTACGGCTACAAGTAGACAAGCGGCTAGCGACAGTACTGGCTGTGCCGGTTGCAATCCGATCCTCAAGATGTGGATCTTTCACAAGTGGCAGGAGATCGACCTCAAGCAAACCGCCGTGTCCCTCACAACCTTGATTGGGGCCAAGGTCTTCGACAAGAAGGACCACAAGGACCTCACTTCTGGACAGTACTGGAGCTCTGAGTGCCTTCGAAGATTCCTGCTGCCGGCCAGGAGTTCATTGCTGAAATTAGCGGCATCGCCAGCGGAGAGTTTGCACTCGAGCAGCAGCTCGAGAAGGCAGAGCGGTTGCATTTCACGGCGAAGGTCGAAGTTGCAGTGCCATCATGTGCCATCCATGCACCGCGCCGTAAACCCCGCGTTTCTCTCTGAAGCTCCTGGAGCAAACGGGAAATGTCTACTGTGAAAACTTCGTCAAAGCTTTCCCGGCTTTTTGGAGGTCATCGCGGCCTGGGAGGACATGCCGCTGCCGGTCCAGAACCATCGGAACCAGCGGGACCCGACTGGGTTGGGGCAGCGCAGCGTGAAGCGGAGCCCGGACAAAGCATCTCCCTGTAGCTGCTGCTCTGGCTTTCTGGCTGCAGCTTTCTGCCTCGAGGACCTGTGGATTCTTGGGGACGTTGGTGACATCATCACTCAGCTGGAGGAACTCCGCGTGGGGCTTCGTGTGCGTGTGGAGTTGGGGATGGAACGAAGGAGTTAAGCGGCCTGAAATGCACCATGTGCCTCTTGTGCCCTTCTTAATGCTTTTGTGCCGGTAGCCGCCTTCGTTCAAGTCAGGCCTAGTTCAGTTTGTTTTCGGCCGGAGGACCACTCGGTGCAAATCCAGACCATGATGGGGCCTACACCTCGTGGGACTCACCGTGTGTTCTGGATCTGCGCGTGTGGAGCAAGTTCGGTACCTGTTCTTGGGAAGCGAACAAGTGCGACTGCGCTCCTCAGGTCGCGCTTTGTTCGGGGAATCCGCGATCGTGTGGAGACTTGGGAGACGAAGATCAGGCAGGTCTGTTTCCGCAGCTTGGGAAGACAGAGGGTGGGCTTTTCTTTGCCTTCGTTCTGAGACGCACCCGGAAGGCTTGCGTCTGACACCATCGACGAGTGGCTGCAGGCCGACCGGTAGTGTTAGCACAAACTGCCTGCAGCACAACGTGTTTGGGGCAACACGCAATCATTGAATTCCGGAGAGGTGCAGCGCGGCTGGATGTACCTGGACTCTCGGCCTGAACTTGCCGGTTTTGGCCTCCGGAGATAGAAAGGGTTGAACCCCTTCTGTCGGTTTGGGGGCTCTAAGTGACGTGCTTCTTTTCAGGGAGGCTCCCGAACTCATGCCCAGGAGAGCATCTTCTCTGCGGAGGACCTGGCAACTGGACAGATTTCGTCGGCAGGCATAGGCGGAGTAAGCACGAAAAAAAGGGGAGCTGCAGGCGCGCGCGCGCGCGACCCAGACGCCTGGCCTGGCACGGCCCAGTCCGGAGTCGTCTGTCGGCTTCGTCGGCGCTGCGCTGTGCACTGCACACGTGAAGCTCACCATAGGCGCTTAGGCAGACTCCGCTACTCCGCTTGGAATGCTCATTTTCCCCTGAGCTTCGGAAGTTCAGCTATACAGTGGCATGCAGCTAGGCAGTCGGCTGATCGCCTTTGTCGACCCTGACTAGCTAATTCCCAGACCCTCAGGCAAAGTCCCACTTCTGCCGGATTTATGGAGGACATCCAAAAGCAGCTCCCAACCGAGTCGGCGAAGTTCAAAGGAGTGGATAAGCCTGGCACCCGGCCAAGTGTGGTTTTAGATTCGCGATGCCATGCAAGAGCAACCCAGCATAACTTCAAATTTTGGTGTCCAGGTTTCCAGGGTTCTGGCTGTGTGAAAGCTTTGCAGTGTCTGTTGAAATTGGAACGCCCCATGCGAGGCTTGACAGGAATCTTCACTTTGGTTTTTGAAGCTGAGAATGCTTGCTCTCCGCTGTTGTTCTTGTCGTGACAGGTTTTGGAAGGACACGCTGAAGAAGGCCTGGAACGTTTGGCTGTGCTATCGCTTCTCGCCTCTCTCTTCCTCTACCCCTTGTTGCTGCTGTGAGGTGCGCCAATCCTACCGCAAAGCCATGGAAGCGTGCTGGCCTTGTCCATTGAGTCACGAAGGCTTGTGGCTCTAGCGATCAGGTTTAGCCGGTCAGAGATGTGGGGGGACAGAAAGAGCAGCTCCAAGACTTGGATGTGACCGGCTTCAGCGTATCATTCACCAACCCCGCCGGCCAGTCGACTGGAGTTTTGAAGTGTTACCAAGGGTCAGCACTTTGCTAAGGTTTCATATTCCAAATCTTCTCGCGGGCGGAGCGCCTGGCAGGGTTGATTCAAGCGGTTGGGACTGGCTCCATAGGAGAACATCAGAGACCGCTGAGCAGACGGGCTTGTTGTTCAGCCTTTGGTGATGTGGGAAGCTTTAGCACGCCTCGATTTATCCAATGTTTGAAATGCACAGAGAAGTGTCCGACTTCAAGACTCCTTCGCCGCCCTGCCGTTTTGGCTCACAGCCAGTTTTGGGCAGAAGCGGCGTCACCGCCGCGTTGTACTCGCACGCCCTTTGCCCGAAGGGGTGATCGCCAGCCCCGCAGGCCTGTGCTGCAAGAAAGGATGAGAAATAGGTTTCCCGTCCGTACGCTACCTGTCTGTCAAGCGTCACGCGCCGGGTGGAGTCTGGTAGAGTCAGAAAGCTTGGCCGGGAGTTCCATGTCTCGCAGCGTCTGCGGATGTTTGCAGGCACGAAGAGGCAAGATGTCGATGCAGAGTCCGGATCCCCAGCCGTCTCGTAGGGTCACCACGTCCGATCGCAGTAGCACGCTCCTTTCTGAGGTGGTAGCTTCCGATTCCTCAACCTCATCAAGCCTGGCCCTTCTTAGTGGGCGGGGACAGCACCCGTGTGCGTCAGCACGTGTGTGCTCTGAGCCGAGGCCGGTGATGTGCGTCCTTCCGGAGGTAGAGGCTCCCGACCGCAGCTCGGCAGCAAAGTATGGACGCTTACAAAGGGAAGCTCGCAGCCTACCGAAACATGCTTGCGGGAAGTCCTAGCCTCATCCAGCCTTGTCTGTGACGTTCAACGGCAGTGTTCGGTTCGGTTTATCGCAACAGACATGCAGCGAAGAAGGGAAGGTGTCATACACCGGTATGTCAACATTTCTTAAATTGTTTATGCTTTCAACAGGAGTATTCGCAGTACACGCATTTTTTGCTCCAAAACTATACACAATAAACACACAGAATCATGCATGATTTTGTGCGTGTTCGGAAAGCAACGAACGTCAGATTTGTTGGGTATTGTTTTCTCGAGATGTGTGAGTGCCGCGGGCGTGTTTAAGGCTTGTTTGGGGTTTCAAGACTCACGAGCTTGTTCAAAGCTGTGAAAAGGTGATTCTGTCCTCATTTTGTCATAGTCCTGGGAGTGAATAAACAGAAACATTTGTACGGACTATATACGCATAGGTACACACGCTCACAGACGGGATTTTACAACTGTAATGCCAATAAGCAAAGGACCGACATCAATATGGAGTAAGCAAGCAGAGCCTTGAGCTCCGGCTGAAGCTCTGTCATTTCGGACTTAAAGGATTATGGTAGAGATGCGACTAGGGACCGCAGTGACTGATTTGGATGTCTGTACCCTGAGCCCCTTACATGCGTTTCTTGTTAGAAAAGCTGGTGCTATCGAATCGTCCTGTCATCGCAGAATGTGTGCTCTTTTCGCGACACGACAGAGGCCCCTGGTTCCACGGCACCATTTTCTGAAGCCTGCCATTCGATGAATTAGGCGCTTCCGAATTCCGAGATGGATATCAGAACCGAGGGATGGAAGTGGAGGGGTGAAGGGAAGAGAAGACAAAGAGGTGGTCCCTGATTCGCCCAGTTTTTCGCATCCATGCGATTGGCTGTGGCCTCTCACAGCTGCTAGCGGCCCTGTTGCATCGTCCGAGGTAGGATTCCTTTCAAAGAGAAGATTTTGCCACGGCCTCGAAAGGAGTATAGATATGTTCGCGGATCTTGCATCCAGTGAACAGAACGGGCCCGTGCCTACATTGTAGCCAAGAGCGCCAGCTGCTGTGAGGTGGACGTCCATCTCCTTGTTTGTTTTCCTAGTTTGCTGCCAGAGCCTGGCCTGCATTGGGACCTCCGCCCATCCGTCGGTTGTGCGAGCTGGGAGCTTTTTCAATGCATCGTCCATGGCTTAGGATTCCGCTCTATGGTGTGCTGACCTCCAAGAGTGACATGGCTTTTCCAGATTCTGCGAACTGTCCCTAATCCACATGCGTTGGAGTCATGCTAGCTCTAAAGCCGCGGAGATTTCGTGGTGAAGGCTCCGATCCCTTCTACTGGATGCGAGTCATCCTAGTCCCTGGGCGTGCATTGAGGCCTCTCCATTCTCTTGTGCTTTTGAACCCTCATTTTGGAGCAGCTACACCTTGTCAAGTTGACATCCGTTAGTACCCTTGTGTTCTCTCGACAGGTTTAGTTTTGTTGTTCCTTGGATATTGGACCTGTCTGATTGGGTCGAATGATGTCAACTGAAGCCGCAAGATGCGGTTTGAGACTTTAGCAGCATGAAGTAGGGGTCAGCGCTGCATCACGACCTCGGTTTCCCATAGAATCTTGTCGAGCTCGTGCTTGCAGCAGTACGTCATATTTGTTTGGTGTTTAGGATTTAGGGTTTAGGAACGACGGACGGTTTCGGGCAGCTTAAGGTTTCCCGGTTTGGACCTGGGGACAAACATTGCCAGAAGTGAAGTGTTCATGTAGCCTTGTTTAGGGCAAAGCCAGTGCTGTCGACGGACTCGCGGCCGAGGCTTCGAATCGAGGCACTCTCATGGAGTCAGCGTCCCCAGCGCGAAGCCGTTAGACACGCTGCAGTTCTTGGGATGGTCCGGGTTTGAAGTGGCAAGTCGCCACAGGCTCGCTCGCCATTGGCTGACATATAAGTACGTTGCACTGAACGAATGCGTGAGGCTTGGGTTTTCCTTTCCGAGGCTTGGAATCTCGCCAATCATTACCTCCGGCATGGCTGCCTGGCTGCAGCTCTAAAAGAGCTACTTTCAGAGCTCTTCCCCATGACTCGGCTTTCAGCATCCTGTGGCGAAAGCCTCGAGGTGATGCAGCTCTTAGCCGGCAGCAGGAGCTGATGGGGGGAAGCTAAAGTCTAGACAAAGCTTGAGGGATCATTGTGTGGCAACTCGGTGCCGTGATTCTTTAGAAGTCAAGCCTTAGTAAGGAGCAGCAGCAGCAGTAGCAGCAGCAGCAGGCAGGAGCAGGAGCAGGAGCCTCTACTCGTGTGCCGGACACACTCGTGTTAAGTCGAGCGCACACATCTTTAGAGCGGTCTGACGGCTTCCGTGTTGCCGATGGACTACGTGAAACTTTCTGCACAGAGGGCCTGAGATTCTCGTGAGGAGACGAGTGTTCTGCAACGGTGCAGGATTATTGACGTGGACCTGACTCTCAAGGAGGATAAGATCCTTTTCCAGGGCGCGCAGAAGCTGTTGCCTGACGAAATTAGGTCTCCTTCGAAAGAAGGACGGGGTGCTCGAGCGTGGTTCTCACGAGAGAGTAGAAGGACGGTGCTAGAAGTCCCGGCTTTTTCGGAAGTCGCGGCCTGGGCCTACATGCGCATGCGGCGCATGCTTGCAAGCTTGCACAACGATCGCTTCGAAGCCTTACCTACCAGCACACGACTCCATAGAAGCCGGAACCAAGCTAGGTACTGCTTATGCGTGTCTCAGCTCCGAAATGCTCATGCTCGTGCAGCCAGTCTCTTGAACTGAAGGAGCAAATCAGGATCCCGCTCAAGATCAGGTGTTATGCAACCTTCTCCTGTGCTTCCGAGATGTGCCTCCGAACTTGTCACGACTCCGTGGGCTGCCTCGCATCCTGTAGCGGACACGGAATGGCCTGTGCTTTCTCCACTCGACAAGGAGTTCATTTTCTCGTAGGAGCAGCACCCCACTTCCCTCTGTGTTTCTTCAGGTTCGGCATGCTGATCACCATGGGAGAGGCCGGAGTGATGCTAGAGAGAGGGGTCGTCTCGCAGCTTTGAAAACGAATTCGATTCCGAGCTCTGGCGCTTGGGCACAAGGGTGCTGTGGCGCTTGGGCAGTTTTTGTTGCGCTTCGAGGCCGTGGCTTACGTCATGAGTGGCATGTACGGCAGCCTGCGGGAGATTGGCCGCTCGGGCAGAGATAGGGCACTCCGTGGCCGAAAAGGTTTGGGACCTTGGGAGCCGGGCTGAGGAGCTACCAGTGCCATCTTGATCATCCTGCAGCTCTTCTTTGCCGGGATTGTTGTTATCCTCTTGGACGCAGCCCGGCAGCCTTGGGATTGCCTGTCACTGATCTGGTATGTTTCTCTCGTCTTCGAACAGCCGGTTGCACCAAGCACGAAACGAGTCTCAGTCTTTTGCTCGCCGGCCGCCATCGGACTGAGAAAGTTGTGATAAAGCACAAGGTTTGTGTGGAACCCCAGAGCTCAGGAGCTGATGCAGAAGGGCTATGGCATGGGTTCCGGAATCTCGCTTTTCATCGCGACGAACATCTGCGAGAGCCGCACGGCTCGGCATGAGGAAATAGGAACACTTCTGGCTTCAAACTTCGCCGCATGTCTGGAAGAAAATGCATGTGTTCGGCCCCCGGACCCAGGCATCATCTGGAAGGCCTGAAAAAACGGTTGGGTGCAGACTGGCAGTCGAGATTAGTTTGGATCAGAGTTGAGTGGAAGAGCTTCTGACAATCAGTTCGATTAGCGATCCGAGTCGACGGCGCAGAGCACTGGTTGTAGGCATTCTCCCCAACGACCATGAATACTGGCAAGGGAATCTTGGACCCGCAATTTGACTGTGCCGCAGATCTCTCCAGCTGCATGGCACTCGCTGCGGCACCGCCATGTGAGACTCCGAGGAACCGAGTTTGAAGGTGCCATCGTTGCAACCTTCCACTTCATGGCATCGAGGCACTGGAAGATCAAGCCAGAAGACAAGCCCGTTGACAGAAGCCACTTTCGCGCGCTGCAAGGAGCGACAAGCTGGTGGCCTTGAAGGAGGCCTTCTACAGACAATCTGCAGCTTGCTCCGCACTCTTGCAGACTAGCACCGCCCCGCAGCTTCATATTGGAGACCAGCGAAAGTGAAGTGTAAGGCGCCGAATCTCACGAACCTCTTCGCCACCGTGCCTCGACGTTCAGCACGGAAAAGGCATGAAAAGGCATGAAACGGCTCCTCGGGCCGAGGTCCTCGTCTTCTTCATTGTGATTTACTTCCAAGGCTTGGATGCGATGGAATGCGGTGGCATGCCATTGTGCGCCGTTTCCCATTGCGCAGGTTTCAAAGTCGACCTGCCAGTGAAGTATCAGAAGATGCGAGGATCGCAGGCTGGAGCAGAGACGTTGAGAACATGTTCTGGCTTGCGAATGCGGAAGCTTTGCCAACGAACATGAACCGATTAAGAGTTCTTGCAGCATGGGGTGCATGACAACAACCTTCATCTTGGCTGCTCATCGAATCCTTATGTCACCTCTGCCCCGAATGCCAACATAAAGTCAGCCAACGTAGGCTTAAGTAACTCAAACGTTCATTGCGTGATAGTTTTCTTGACCAGAAAAAGTTCCAGTGAAGGCAATGCCCCTTGGTTTCTAGGTTTAGTTCCGCGCATCAAATCCGTGGCAGCAGAGAGAGAAGCTGAGCTCATCAACGGTCTGCCAGGGCTCCTTCCCCATCAAGCTGTTCTACACATCCAACATTCCCATCATCCTGCTGGGAAGCCAAAGGGTGTGATCTAGTGGTTGCGCAGGGATCCGCGGTTTGTAGTGAAGCCAGTTCCCACTGTGGGCCCAAGTGGACGGCTCAGGCAGACAGCGCTGGTCTCGAATCTCTACTTCCTGTCTCAGCTGCTTTACAGGCCGGAGACCACCCCATTGTCGAAAATCTGCTTTGTCGATTCCACGGCAGGCGCTTCAAGTCGAACATGCTCGTGAACTTGCTCGGCCAATGGCAGGCAGCATCGCCATGTCTGAACTAATGGCGTCCCGGACTCGTTGCTCTCTGCCCTTTCTCTGCCCAAGCGCCTCTTCGAAGTTGCACAGGAGGCAGACTTTGGCGGTCAATCCGTGCCGGTGGGAGGTTTCGCCTACTACATCTCGCCACCCTCCAGTGCAGGGGCCCCGGCGGCGGGCATTGGAACCCCGACTTCTCCTCGGAGTGCTCTGGCGGCCTCCTCACTTCACAATCGCGAGGTCTCCAACATATGGGAGGATCCGCTTCATGCACCTTGGCAGGGGGGGTCGGGTTTCAGTGTTCCTCCAAAACTTATGACGTGCCTTTTAGAAGAGGCCCGCTTCGGCGCGTTCCAGGTCTGCCGAGCGGCGATACTGGCACCCTGAGCTCAGCCTGAAGCCTGCGAAAAGGCATTGATCTACGTGTCCTTCGTCCTCATCTCCTGCGCGCTCTTCTCCAAATTCTGGATTGAGGCGCAGCACGGGCCGAGTCGAGAGGGTTTCGCCTTTGTCTGCTCGGTGGCAATGCTCTTCTCGCGCTTCTCTGGCCCTTTCTCACCAAGGTGTCTGGGTCCTCGCCCAGGGACGTGGCGAAGCACCTGCGAGATCAGTCCATGGTCTTCAAAGGCCCTTCCGGGACCGAAGACACTGGCACTGTAGCTCTGTCTGCTTCTGCCCCAGGCCACAGAGAAGAGTCCCTGTCCCGGGCCTGGAAGGGTCGGCGTCCGCGAAGCGTTTGTAAATTTTGCAACCAGGAGTAGACAAGAATCTTAGATCACCCCTTTCTCCGAGAACGCGTCAAAGCCGCTGTTCCTGGAGATGTCCTCGTCATATGACCGGCACCGGAGCTTTGAGACTTAAGCACTGGGCCCTTAGGTTGAAGGTTCTGGACATGTACATCCCGACTGCTGCCGCCTTTGGAGGCATGTGCATCGGTGCCAGCCCCAGCACAGCGAACCTGAACTCCAAGCGCAGGAGCCTCTGCGGGGCTGGAAGGGCTAACTTTAGGCCCACCAGCTGCAAGACGCCGGCCAAGCTCGAACGCGCAAGGCTCCATCAATCCAATGCTGAATGTCGAGTGCAGATCTCCTGCTGAACGAAAACTGGACTGCCAATGCGATCGAGAACTCCTCTATTACTGCTGTTGCCGTCTTTGAGCCTTGAGCGGCTGAAACTTCGTCCTCGCCCCGAAGCGTTTTTGCTGAGTGCGTCTGGAATCCTTGGAGTACCGCCGGTCTAATGCCTTCACTGGACCGTCGCCCAGGGATGCTGACCATCATGGCAGACTTCCTGGGAGCGATCGGCAGTGGCACGGGCATCTTGCTCGCGGTTGGGCGCTCAGCGGGTTTTTGTGGTGTTTTCCACTTGCACGCTTCCATGCACCTTCATCGGCCTCCCGTCGCAGCAGGTCACCATCATCTACCAGTACTTCGAGATGATCTACAAGGATTCGGGGGTTTCTTCGGCTGACCGCGTTTACGTTTACGATGCGGTTCCCGAGCAGCTTGGCACAGGGTTGTTTGCCGCTCTAGACGTTAAGGGTCGTGGACAATGGCGAGAGGAGCACCACAGTGCAACCTATAGATTCGCACTGGGAGGGCAAACTATATCTTTGCCGTGCTGATCCGTGATGGTGAGTAAAGTCTCGAGTCTCGCTGCTTCGCTTGGCTTTGGTTGATTTATCTTCATGGCCTCCAGCCTTTGTGTATCGCGAGGAGAAAGAGCAGGGCAACATGCTCTTCTGAGCAGTCTGAGCGCACCCGTTTGAAACCCGGCTTTTGCCATCCCCATCCCGAAGATCAATGCCTTAAGCTCCCCCCGACCCCTAGCAACCTGGCTGTAGAACATCCCTTGAAGCTTGCTCCCTCGGAACAGCCGCCTCAGCTCCAGCCTTCCAGAGACCGGTTCCTTTCTACCAACACGTGCACATGAAGATGTCAGCCATTCCCATTCCTCCGACACGCCACGGGGATCTAGATGAAGGTTTGAAGGACATGGGATCGTCAACGATGTTCGAGCGAGTGACAACCCACCTGGCCCAGGTTGCTCCGCTCTTACTAGGCCGATCAAGAGCGCAAGAGAATCTCCAGGCCACTACTACTTGCCGTCCAAAACACAGATTTGACGCTTCATGAGCGGGTTCAGATCAGGAGGCAGTCCGTGTTCGTTGCCAGCTGTGGTCACTCCCCAGAAACATGTTGTGAAATAGTTTGTACTCCGTCTTCGCGGCTCACCATGTACGACATGGCAGAAATTCACTAGAAGTAGGTTGACTTGGAGCAGACTGCTAAGGAGGCAGGACTCTGGGGGGCGTGAGCCTCTCTCCGTGCACAAAGATGTCAGGCTGCTCATGCAGCTTCTCCGATGAAGTACGAACAGTCCAACAAGATGCACACACACACACATGTTGCAATATCTCAAATTAGACACACATGTATTGAAACTACGTTTTACTGTGCCACATCCTTGTCCAGTCAATGTCATTCAGTTGTACACTGTGTGTATGTATCTATGTGTACGAAGGTGTGCAGACCAGCCTTGTATGTGCATATAAACGTAGTTGAAGACAGATGAGTATAGACAAGCAAATGCGTGTATATATACATAAATGTGGAACGGCCTGTGTCTTGAGCTTCTTAGCTTAGTCCTTCCCCTCCCTCCCCACTCTGCGGAACAGAGGCCACTCCGCACAGGGACTTAAGGCTACCGGCCTGTGTTTGGGAGATACCATCACGGGGCGGGGGCGGGGCAGAGCGCACGGCGCACGACGCCCACCTGTTCCAGATTCCAGACGACTTTGCAGGTTGCTCCCATGTGTGCATATTAGTCCGCACGATTCAGATATGCCGGATACCGTTAGAATCTTGGCTTTCTTATGGACATACAAACCGTCTCTCTGTATGTCTCGGGCTTGATATGTGTTTAGATCTGGGGCCGAATGTCGAGTTGATACCAATTGTGTTTTAAATTACGTGCAAGATGGTGATCGAGTTGATGTTCACAACTACTCAAGAAAGGAATCAAGTGCTCCATTGCCAAGTGTCGTGCAGGCAACATACAACCTTGTACAACTTGTGCCGCCCCAATCACGAGGACTACAACCACCCAGCCCTAGTTCTGACTGGTAATAGCAGTGTCTGTGGCATGCTCTCGTGTCGAGATTCTTACTCGCAAGTAGAACAGCCGTTCTTATCTTCATATCATAAGAAAAGAAGAGAGCTCCTTTGCGGTTTCTCGACGGGTCGTATTCTGTTTGTCCGCAAGCTCGCAACGGCAAGGTGTATTACCGTAGCCGTGCGACTCAAGCATACCGGTCCGTTACCCGACCTTGTGCTAGCTCTGATTTGCCCGCCACCGTCCCCCTTGCTCCACCTGTTCTGCTGGGTTTGTTTGTGGCTTGATTTCCATGGTTCTGGTGGATTTCTTTGAGCTTTCTGTATATAGCTCCGTAGGCCGTATACCCAGCAAAGTCCTTCCCGTCGGCCGGCCGAATCGCAGTGCGGCCGACCGAATACAGATCCGTAGCCTATCTCCGGAAACTCCGTTCCGTGATCCGGACGTCAGATCCAGACCGAACAGCTGCGGCTACAGCCATCCGAAAAAGGAGACCGCTCTGCTATAGCTTTTCCGGAATGCATACATAGCATTACCGACCGCAACGGACTAGTGCTTGCGGCCGAACATAAGAACGTCGCAAGGTGGTGGGAAACTATGCCGTTGCGTGCGTGCCTTGAACCTCACGAACCACTGCAACCCCCCAAACTCGCGGCTCAAAACATGACCAACATCCAACAAAACGGAGTGTTTCGCCCGCTCCACGCCAAGCAATAGAAGCCAGAATGTTGAAATTCGTGCCTTCAGTTTCAGGGTTTGCAGGATGTTTTTGAACTTTGCAGGGTTCGGTGCATCCTTGTACACACATGAACCACCCACACGGTGCGGATCTTCGTGGAGGGGGGGCCAGCATACTTAGGTCAATTTTGCATACGATGAGAACACATTGTCTCTCTACGTGTGTGTGTGTGTGTATATGTAAGTATGTGTATGTATTTCTGTGTTATACGTAGACACAAACACAAGTCTGCCCACGTCTCTGGCAACACCTTCTAACGCACACAAAGATGTACATGCATGAGGGCGAAGCGAACCTCTGCTCCGCAGTTTGTCGGCTTATGAATCAGGGCCCCCTTGCAGTAGGAGTAGGAGCCGGCGCTGGGGGTTTAAGCAGTGCTCTCCTGACTCTTTTGCTGGGGCACGTTCGGGACACTTCGGAGCAGTTTGTTTGCCCCAGCCCGGTGTTTCGAGACGAGCCTGTGCGGGCCGACTTCTACTTGGGACTGGCTATAGGGGTGCAGCTAGGCATTGCAATCGGTTCGCTTTTGGACCTGCTCTACCTTGCTCGGCAGCATTTGGCAGTGGCCCTCAGGAACCGCTTGGCCACCCTTTCCCTGACGAGGTTCCGTTGTGCATGAGCCAAACTGGCTTGGACACCCTGGAGGCTCACATTCGTGCCCTTACTGCTCGGGTGGAACTGCTGGAGCTTGAGAACAAGGTGCTAAAGGTGCGAGTGGAGCGGCTGGAAGGCGAGGGCTTTGAGGTGGTCAGTGAGAGCCGCCCTGCAACTCCGCCACGCGAGTCGGCTTCGCTTTCGTCCTGTCTGGCAGCATCTTCACCTTACCGCCCGGCGGAGCGCTCGAGGCCTTCTTCCTCTTCGGCGGTGGCTAGCTCTTCGGGGCCCTCAGCGGAGAAGTTTCGGGGACAGGTTGCTGACGAGATCGGTGCTTACATTCGCCGCTGCCTTAGCGGAGGCAACCGAGGCAGCAGCGGCCATGAGAAGATTGATCTCCCCAACCGGGTCTACGTGGTCGTCAAGGACTTCAAGGAGAACCTCTTTGATCCGGCGCGGGTCTTTTCTACTTGGAGGGACACGCAGCCGATTGTGAGCGTGGGCCCCGGACCTGGGAAACAGTTTGGTGAGAGCATCTTCGTTGGTTTTCCGAGCCAGTGGGAGGCCCGGCGTGCAGTGGCAGCAGCCGGCCTGAGGTGGCCGGAGGATGGCCGCTGAGGGCAGTGCATTGGGCGAGGCGGCGGCTCAGGACCTTAGCCGCTTTGCCTTGGCGCGAGAAGACGGTCCGATTTTTGACTACGGCTTGGTGGCAGTAAGGCCTAAAGCTGTGGAAGGTGCTCCTTGGGTGGCACTTGTGGTGATTGGCGAGGACGCCGACGGCGAGTTGGTGGTGGCATTGCCGGGTGGAGCTTGGCATCGCACTGCTACTGCTGCTCGCCGCCGCGTGCCGACGGCGAGTTTGAAGTCGCCTCGGGCCTTTTCAGTGCGGCTGGCGGCCTTCGAGGCAAGAGTGGCTGAGCTGCGCACGGCTTGGGCACAGCTCTTGGACTTCGTGGCGGTCGGCGAGGCAGATTTGGATCTGGGCTTCAGCTTTGGGGAGGGTGAGCAGGTGGACTGCGTGTTCCCTCCGGACCTCGTTGAAGCAGCCGGGAACAGGCTCGCCTCCCATCGACCTGTTTCCGAGGACAGCCGAGACGAACCAGGATGGGCAGCCAGAGTGGCCGACCTCGAGCGAGACATGGGCAACCTTCAGCAAGGCATCAAGGACATTTTGGCGAAGCTGGGAAGCGGACCTGCAGAGGCGGCCGACCGACCGCAGCAGCCGGCGACTTCCCGGCCTTCCGCCTTGCGAACTTCTACTCGAGACAAAGCCCCTCCTCCGCCAGCCGGAGTGCCGGACAGCCACTTGCAGGAGATGGCTCGTGTTGTTCAGGGCTCCCGTTCGAAGCTGAAGGATCAGCCGGCTCCTGCAAAGGCGATTTGGGCTCCTCCCACATCTCTTGCGGCACTGGACCAGACCGACGACGAGCCCGAGGAGGAGACTGCGGACGAGGGTGAGGTACAGGGCGGCGACCGGATGGCAGCCGCCATCGAGAAGCTGACGGTGATTGCCACCACTCTGGAGGGGCTTCTGGAGGCGGGGGGCGCAACAGACACCTGTGGCTCAGCAGGCGCTTCGCGGAGGAATTCTGCTGCCCTTCGCGTTTTGAAGCGTGCTCTCAGGGACCATCCTCGCGAGCTGGCCGACGGCATGCTGGAGCGCATGGCCGCCGACTTTGGGTTGGCAAGGGCGCTTCCTGGAGGAGACCGGGTTCCCGTGACAGCCAGAGCTTGGGTCGAAAGCAGGGCCCGCATCCAGCACCATTATCCCTCTACGGTGCGGTTCGCTTGGATCTTAGCGGGGGTGGTGGACGCTTTGGGCCGAGGCGACTACGACGAACGCCTTGCCCGATCTCTGGTGGGGCTGGCTGCTGTGGAGCAACTGAGCTTGGACAGGGGCAGCTGGACACTGGCGGAGCCGATGTTGCTGGAGGAGCCTGCTCCTCTGAGCAGCTTTTATGGAAGGCAGATGCCAACGGGGAGCGCGCAGCCCTTCACGCGCTTGCTCGATGCCAGGACGATCGAGCTGCTGGTCTACCAGGTGAAGGAGGTCGACGAGTACTTAGAGAGGCGAAAGAAGCTGGGAAATCGCTGGGAAATCGCCGCTCCCCCCCCTCCATTTCTGCAAGACGACACGAGGATGCCACCGGACAACAAGGGCGGCAAAGGCAAGCCGAAGGCCAGGCCGAAGGGTGCCGCGGCCAAGGGCGAGCAAGCATGAGTGGGCATGGAGTGCCCCATGGAATTCGTTAGTAGCGCAGGGGAATTTCCCCCCCACGTGCCGGGATCCTCAGCGAAGCTTGTGCTCCCGTCTTCTTTGTGGGCTGCGATACCACGGTGGCTGCTTCGGTTGCACACCCCTTTTGCGAGATTTTTTCACTGCCTGGTGACTGAGAAGCCTGAGCGGGATGCCCCGCCACCGGAGGGCTCTTTCCGATGACTTTGCCTTACCCGAGCGTGTACATGAGGAGCGCTCGGCGGCAGACTCCACCGACCCGCTTGGCCGAGCGTCAAGCTGTGAACTTAGTGGTGGCTGCGTTGTCTTGGTTGTCGGTATGGTTTCGTGCTAAGCAATCAGACAAACCTGA